AGGCTCTACATCTAGCATGGATCCCAATGTGGGACTCAATTTCACGATTCGTGAGATCATGACCTGAGCCGAAATCAAGAGTCAGACACTTAACTGACTGAGGCATCCAGAACCCCCCCCCCGACTAGTCTTTGTTTCTTGACTCCATTTTTAAATATCCCACCCACACATTTTCCGCTGAGACCCTTAAATATGTTGTGCTTCCGTTCTTATTCTTTGCTGCTTGCTGTTTTCCTTGGAAACATTTTCCTTCTATTTTTTTTTCACTTCTCCTTGCATGCTCAGTCCATTTGTTTTGCTTTGTTTGAATGAAAGCAGTGTCTTAAGACTACACATTTTCTTCATATACGCTTTTGGTTACATTTCAGAAACTGCCTCTGTTCGTTCATTTTCATTGTTTTAGAAACCTGTTACTCCAGGTTTGAATTTGCCTTTGACCTAATAATTATTCAGGGGGAAAAGTATGTGGGCATTTCTTTTAAAGTTTTAAGAAACTGGGTGTTTCTTTTACATTGTAGCCTGAGTGTGAAGCCTATATAATTCCTCCCTTGTGGGGATCTTGAGGCATTATTTGTAGCCTAGTTTATAGTCAATTTGTGTAAAGATTCCTGAAGTGTTTGAGAAGGTGTATATTCTGTGGGATAAAGTACAAGCCCTATAATAAAGCCAAAAATTCAGTCTTATTAATATGGTTTGAAATATATTCCAAAGACAGCCTGGTGTCTCCGTCCCTGTTTAAGTCTACAATCTCTGTGGTCTGTACTCATCTTCTTTTTTAATTTTTTTTAATGTTTATTTACTTTTGAGAGAGAAACAGAGACAGAGTGCAAGTGGAGGAGAGGCAGAAAGAGAAGGAGATGCAGAATCTGAAGCAGCTCCAGGTTCTGAGCTGTCCACACAGAGCCCGATGCAGGACTCGAACCCACAGACTATGAGATCATGACCTGAGCCGAAGTCGGAGGCTTAACCGACTGAGCCACCCAGGCGCCCCGTTCTCGTCCTCTTTTGTCTCATTGTTTTCCACATGCCTTTCTGCTTTGCACTTGGAGAGCTTTTCGAGCGTGTGGCTACAGCCTCGAGGGACCCTTCTGTGCTGTGGATTCTGCTCTTTCCGCCTTCAGTGCAGATCGCATTCCCAGCACTGGATTTGGGTTCCTGTGTTCTGGATTTCAGCAAGCTGAATCCATTTTTCTCATAGTTTATGGAAAACTCAAAGCGGACATTGCCTCACAATGTCCTGTTTCCTAATGCATTTTCTGGACGCATACTCTTCTTCCAGCATTGCCCCGAGAACTGGCAGGGGGAGCCCCCAAGTAGGCTCTGTGCTTTAGAGCCCCCCACAACACAGTAATTACATTTATTAAGGACCGCACAGTGCCTCTGGCGCTCAGCACCGGCACAACCTTAAACATCCGTGCTCTTGACCGACAATGTTCAGGCTCCCGGGAGATGCTTCACATCTTACCCTATACTGATGGAGAGAAAAATGCATCTGCTTTGAAAGGTTTAATGAAAGCTTGATGGGGCCCCTGCTAGGTACCATCTCGGAGTGCAGAGATTTTTGAGCAGAGAAGTACTTAGGTAAGAGAAAAGACAAATTAACTTGCCAGATCTTTCCTCTCAGCCAGAATGCAATAGATTTGAGCACAATGAAATGGCGTAGTTTCTAGTATCGCCGAGTGTACAGTTTCTTCTTGTTTTCATCTTCCTGCTTGTGGTTTTGGGGCTACTCCACATGAATTAGGACACCGTGTGCATCAGCTGTAAATAGAAACTGAGGGCATTTTTGCAATATTACATAAGCCACATTACACATTATTCAAATTTGTACATCAAGACTTTAGACATAACGATACCGATTTTTTACACAGGCGGCAAGATGGACATTGAATGCTAGAATTAGGAATTTTCACATTTTTATTTAAAAACTTACTTATTTTGGGGGTTGTCTGGCTGCCTCAGTTGGAAAACATTAAACATTTAAAAAATAAACACTTTTTAAAATTAAAAAAAAACCCAAACATGTGACTCTTGATCACACAGTCACAAGTTCGAGCCCCATGTTGGGGTTAAAAGTTACTAAAAATAAATAAATAAATAAATAAATAAATAAATAAATAAATAATAAAAAGTTACTTGTTTATAAATCAATTTTTAAATTAAATGTATAATTTAAATAAAATTTCAGTTAAGTTGTAAAATTGAGTTATTTAATAAAATTTAACTAAGGCTTTAGAGAGTAAAATGATATACAGTAATTTGGGTTTATGTATATTTGATATAAAAATTTGACATTCATTAATTCTAATCTGTATTTTGCCTTGTACATTATTAGATACTTTTCAGTATTAAAAGAAGCTAACATGGGGCACCTGGGTGGCTCAGTCGGTTAAACGTACAACTTCAGCTCAGGTCATGATCTCACAGTTTGTGGGTTCGAGCCCCATGTCGGGCTCTGTGCTGACAGCTAGCTCAGAGCCTGGAGCCTGCTTCAGATACTGTATCTCCCTCTCTCTCTGACCCTCCCCTGCTCATGCTGACTCTCTCTTTCTCAGAAATAAATAAAACATTAAAAAATTAAAAAAAAAAAAGAGGGGCGCCTGGGTGGCTTAGTTGGTTAAGCGTCCGACTTTCGCTTAGGTCATGATCTCAAGGTTCGTGGGTTTGAGCCACGCGTCGGGCTCTGTGCTGACTGCTAGCTCAGGGCCTGGAGCCTCTTTCAGAGTCTGTGTCTCCCTCTCTCTCTGACCCTTCCCTGCTCACGCTGTCTCTCTCTCTCTCCTAGAAATGAATAAAACATTAAAAAAATGTTTTTTAAAAATAAAAATAAAAAAGTAGAAAATTTAAAAAAAGAAACTAACTTTTTGGAAAAAAAACACTGGAAAACTTTTTCATAAAACATTTTCATAAAACATATATTTACATTTTTGTTCATTGCATATAATTATGTTTTTAATCCTTAGTAAATTTTAAAAAAATTTTTAAGAGAGAGAGTGTGCGGGGCACCTGGGTGGCTTGGTCGGTTAAGCGTCCGACTTCTGCTCAGGTCATGATCTCACAGTTTGTGGGTTCGAGCCCCGTGTCAGGCTCTGTGCTGACAGCCAGCTCAGAGCCTGGAACCTGTTTCAGATTCTGTATCTCCCTCTCTCTCTCTGACCTTCCCTTGCTCACACACTCTCTCTTTTAAAAAAATTTTTTTAAATTATTTCTGAGAGAGAGAGAGAGAGAATGAATCTTAAGCAGCCTCCACACTCCATACTGAGCCCCAAGCAGGGCTTTACCCCAGGACCCTGGGATCATGACCAGAGCTGAAATCAAGAATCAGGTGGTCAACCCAAGCACCCCTAAGATTTTGATTATCATAACATAATTGGGGTGCCTGAGTGGCTCAGTTGTTTAAGCCTCCAACTCTTGGTTTCCACCCAGGTCATGATCTCACAGTTCTTGAGTTCAAGCCCCACTTCAGGCTTTGCGCTGACAATAAAGAGCCTGCTTGGGATTCTTTCTCTCCTTTCTCTGCCCCTCTTCCGCTCGCTCTCTGTCTCTCTCTCAAATACACTAAAACAAACAAAAAGATAACATAATTAATGATTTTGCTGAAAGGAAGAGAAGAAAAATTTCCTAGGAGAGTCATCATCGTTTATGAATGAGGTCTGCGTTTATTACTCATCCCACCATCGTCAGCCCAAGCTGCAGTGTCCTCCTGCCCTGCTGGGAAGAGGAGTCTGGAGGTGGAAAGCACAGGGCAGCACTGCCCACTTAGAAACTCTTTCTACTACCTTCTTTCCGTTGGCCCCAACCATCCTGTTTCAGAGGGTAGTGTGGCCAGGAAAGTAACAGAACTTTCCTGGTGTGCCTGGGTGGCTCAGTCGGGTAAGCGTCCAACTTCCACTCAGGTCATGATCTCACAGTCCATGGGTTCGAATCCCGCGCCGGGCTCTGTGCTGACAGCTCAGAGCCTGGAGCCTGCTTCGGATTCTGTGTCTCCCTCTCTGTCTGCCCCTCTCCCGCTCACTCTCTGTCTCTCTCTCTCAAAATAAAATGAACATGTAAAAAAATTTTAAAAACCCCAAACTTTCCTTTGCCTCCTTTCTGCTACAGCTGGTGGAAGTCTCTCTCAGACTTCTCTAATGATACTAGGATGTGTGACCTTCACAGGGAGAGGACAGGTTGTCGGGTCACCACTTCACAAAGGGTTAACCCCACACTCTCTACTAGGCAGGTCTCTCTTGGTTGCAATTGACAGAAACTCATCTCGAATTTGTTGCCACAGGAAGGGACATTTATTGAATCGCAGGACTGCAGCGAGGGCAAGACTGTGCTTGGGTCTTGGAAAGGGAAGACTGTAGGATTGGAATCCTGTCTGGTCTCTGTTCCCTCTTCAAGGAGGCTTTTGCTCTCAGATGGGCTGTGTCCACGTGATTCCAAACTGTCGGCCTCTGGCCTGACCCCTGAAGGTTTCCCGTGAAAAGAGCTGTCCCACTTAGTTCCTCTTCAGAATGTAGTGGTGGGGGCCACAGGCACACCCTGTCACCCGGGGCACAGTGTCCTGTGACGACTGGCACCTCCACTACCACCCCGTGGAGGAAGGAGCTTCCCCAAAGGTGCTAACGTTCACCAAAGGGAGGGAAGGTGAGAAGACAGAACAGCCAGGACCCTCTGCCCTGCCCCACCCAGTGGTCTTCCCAACAGCTGTCACCAGTACTTCCAGACCCATCTGTACTTTCTGCGGGAAGCTTGAATGGGCCTCAATTTGCATGGTTAAGACCAGAGTATTTCCAGGAGAATGATGATGTCACAGAACTGAGGTTCCAGAAAGCAAGGTGGCCCAGCACTCCCACCTTCTTTAGAACGTGGGGAGCTGTGAACCAGGCGGGGCTAGAGTACAGTTCACGAGGAAGAGACTCTTTTGTTCTACTGATTCTTGAGGAAAGCCCTGGGCTGTCCGGGACCTGGGGTCAGAGAGGGCTGGGATAGAGGTAATTCCGGAAGGGGAGGCGGGAACGCACTTGCTGGAAGCACCATACTCGCCCATGGAAACCCCAAGAGGGGACTTCATGGGCAGAGAGAGAGCTCACCTGCTTCCCAAGGCCCTGTGACACTTGACGAGTCTCTGAAGGGGCCTCCTGAGTCGGTGAGGAGTAGGTTGTATGGAACATACTCATACTAGAAAATGATTTGTTGTTTGTCTGAAATTCTAATATAATGGGGCATCCTGTAAAATTGTATTTACTAAATCTGGCAACTCCAGGGGGAGAGAGAGGAGCAAAAGAATGTTCACAAGCTCAGGCTGGTATGGAGTGAGTCTTAGAAGGCCTCTGTGAGGAAATGGCCGTCGGGGTGGCCATCTTGCCTAAGTAGAAGGTTCCTGATTCTGAAGCCCATGGGTGGAGGAACGCAGGCCTTTGATCTCATGAACGTACATCTACTTTCAGGGGAAAGATACACATACACACATGCACATGCACGTGCACACGCACACACACACACACATACACACACACTTAGTGACACAAATAGCCCCATTCTTTGTTTTCATGGCATCGACAGTTTTGAAGAATATAGGCCAGTTATTTTATAGATTCTCCCTCAGTTTGACTTTGTCTGATGTTTCCTGGGGATTAGATATAAGTGATGCATCCCTGGCTGGAATACTACATAAATGATACATGTCCTTCTCAGGTATCACTTCTGGAAGTACATAATCTTTCTCTATCTTTCACTGATGATGTTCATTTTGATTGCAAGATCCAAATATTGCCCGGTTTCTCTCCTGCATAGTGGCTGTTTTTCCCATGCAACTAAATGCAATCAGTGGGGAGATACTCTAAGAGCATATGTATATCCAGCTCTTTTACAAAACAATTTTAATGTTTATTTATTTATGAGAGAGAGAGAGAGCATGAGCAGGAGAGGGGCAGAGAGAATGGGAGACACAGCATCCAAAGCAGGCTCTAGGCTCTGAGCTGTCAGCACAGAGCCCAGTGTGGGGCTTGAACTCAAGAACTACAAGATCATGATCTGAGCCGTAGTCGGATGCTTAACCGACTAAGCCACCCAGGGGCCCCATCCAGTTCTTCACCAAGCTTTCCACCATCTTGGATTTAGTATCCATTGATGACTCTTGCTCAAACTAATCTCTGGTAGTTGCAGAGTGATGGTTTTCCAACCTTATGACCACCTCCATATTTATCACCATCTTATTGTCAGGAAGAGTTCCACCCCCATCCCCATTATGTATCTGTTTGTCTAATTATTACTAGTAAGGACTCATGGATTCTTGTCTCTTTCACTAGATTATAATCTGTCACTATCATTATTTTTTTAAAGGAAGCTCTAGGCCCAACGTAGGGTGCTAACTCATGACCCTGAGATCAAGAGTCGATCACTCCACCAACGGAGCCAGCCAAGCACCCCTGTCTCTGTCATTATTTATGTTGATTGTCAAATGGTCCCAGTCTACCTTAGAAACCATTCTGTATTAATTCTGTAGATATGACACCAAAAACGTAAGCAACAAAAGAAAAAATAGAGACAGCAGTCTTCATCATCATTTAATTCTTTTGTTTCTAAGAATACCATCAAGAAAGTGCAAGGCAACCCATAGGATGTGAGAAATATTTGCAAACCATGTATCTAATAAAGAATTTTTACAATTCAATGATAAAAGGACAAATAACCCGACTAGCAAATGGGCAAAAGATCTGAATCCTAAGTTTTCCCAAAGAGATACAAATGGCCAAAGAGCCCATGAAAAGATACTCAGTACCACTAGCCCCCAGGAAAATGCAAATCCAAACCACCATGTGATACTGCTTCACACCCATTAGGATAGCTATGATCAGAAAGACAGTTAATAACAAGTGTTGTGGTGGGGGGAGGGGGCGGGGGCTGGTAGGCTCAGTCGGTATAGAGCACGTGACCTTCAACGTCAGGGTTGTGGTTTCAAGCCCCACACTGGGCAGAGCCTACTTTATTTATTTATTTTTTTAAATGTTTTTTATTTATTTCTGAGAGAGAGAGAGAAAGAGACACAGCGTGAACAGGGGAGGGTCAGAGAGAGAGGGAGACACAGAATCCGAACCAGACTCCAGGCTCTGAGCCAGCTGTCAGCACAGAGCCCGACATGGGGCTCGAACCCACGGACTGTGAGATCATGACCTGAGCCAGTCAGACACTTAACCGACTGAGCCACCCAGGCACCCCGAGCCTACTTAAAAAAAAAAAAAAGTAAATGGAATTAAAAAAAAAAAATAACAAGTGTTGGGGCACCTGGGTGACTCAGTTGGTTGAGCCTCTTGATATCTATCGACTCAGGTCATGATCTCAACGGTTTGTGGGTTCAAGCCCCACACTAGGCTCGGTACTGACACCGAGGAGCCTGCTTGGGATTCTCTCTCTCTCTCTCTCTCTCTCTCTCTCTCTCTCTCCCCATCCCCCTGCTTGTGCACACACTCTTTCTCTCAAAATAACTAAAATTAAAAAAAAACAGTGTTGGTGAGGATGTGGAAAAATTGGAACCTTCACTCACTGCCCCTGCTGATGGCAATGTGCTGCTACTTTGAAGTCAGGCAGTTCCTCCAAAGTTTAAACTTTAAGGTACTATTTGGCTCAGGAATTCCATTCCTCAGTGTATGCCCAAAGAAATGAAAACATTCATCCACATGAGAACTTGTACATGGATGTTCATGGCACCATCATTCATAATAGTCCCAAAGTAGACACAGCCCACAAGTGGATAAAATGATCAATATGGAGACAAATGTGGTCTGTCCCTACAGTGGAATAGTATTCAGCCATCACAAGGAATGAAATCCTGGTGCCTGCCACAACACGGATAAATCTTGAAAACATTGTCCAGGTCAGGCACATCTAGAGAGATAGAAAGTGGGTTTGCAAGGGATACAGGAGTGCTAATGCATAGGGGCAAATGTACCCCAATGTTCATAGCAGCACTCTCAACAATAGCCAAAACATGGAAAGAGCCTTAGTGTCCACCAACTGATGAATGGATCAAGAAGATGTGGTTTATCTATAAGATGGAATACTACATGGCAATGAGAAAGAATGAAATCTGGCCATGTGTAGCAACATGAATGGAGCTTGAGGGTGTTATGCTGAGCGAAATAAGTCAGGCAGAGAAGGACAAATACCATATGTTTGCACGTGTAGGAGGATTAGGAGGAACTTAACGGAGCACCATGGGGGAGAAGAAGGGGAAAAATAGTCGGGGAGAGGGAGGGAGGCAAACCATGAGAGACTCCTGAATGCTGAGAACAAACTGAGGACAGATGGGGTGGGGGGAGGGGGAGGGGTGATGGGCACGGAGGAGGGCACTTGTGAGGATGAGCACTGGGTGTTATATGGAAACCAACTTGCCAATAAACTATTTAAAATTTTTAAAAAAAGAAAGAAAGTGGGTTTGTGGTGGCCAGAGGTTGGAGGCGGGTCGATTGGGGTGGGACAGCTAATGGGTATGGGGTTTCCTCTTGGGTTGATGAAAATGTTTTAAAATTGACCGCAGTCATACATGCACAGCTCTGCAAACACACTATTGAACTGTACACTTTAAATGAAGTGATTATATGGTATGTGAATTACGTATTGTGAATGTTATCTCAATAAAGCTGTTACCCAAAAAGTGTTCCAGATTTGGCCAGTGGGTGCCCCTCTGAGCTGGCTCTCATGTCCATTTGACATGCCCCAATCCATATTTTTGAGAGCTTCCTTACTTTCTAGCACAAGATACTCCAGACTTACTTCATACTCTTTCCTACTCCAGCCTAGGAATCAACCTTTTTCCCAGAAGTCCTGCTTCCTGTTTGGGGGGAATGCAAAACCAAGATTGAGGCATTTATTATTTCCTTTAATCATCAAGACAACCCTATTAAGTCGGTATTAACCTATCTTCATTTTATAGATGAGGCCCAGAGAGGTAAAGCAGTTTGTCCAAGGTCACACAGCAGCCGAGCCTTTGCAAGCAGGCAATGTGAATCCAGAGCCCCTGCCCCTCACACCTCCCCCTACGTACACACGTGTGCGCATGCACACACACACACACACACGCACACACACACACAGAGTGAGAAAGTGAAGTTTATTTCTTCAGCGAGGTCACTTTTAATTGCTTTGTGAGATGCACTTTTGAGTGGAAACCAAAGTGCAGAGCTTATAAACAGCCTCTCGGGAATTGCACAAGGCAGGGTATGCCCTTGGGAAAAGTTACATATCTTGCATCTGGGAGGGTGGGATTGAGGGGAGATCAGCACCGTGTGCTGGCCCTTCCTCCAAGGGCACGTCCTCAAATCCACACACCCAAATACCAGTAAAGTCCAGGTCTCATCAATCTTCTTAGCCAGCCTCACTCCCCACCCTCGTACCCAAATGCTGACCACCGCCAGGTGCCCTTTACAAGAGTGAAAATGGCTAAGGGAGGAGAAAACCTACAGATGATGAAAGGAGATCAGCCTCAGCTTTTCACTGTTGGCATGGGCAATGGGTACATGGAGATTCATGACATCACTCTCTCTTGTCTTGTAAATAGATTTTAAACGTTTCTGTAGTAAAAATGTATGAAATGGTGAGAGGAAAGAGAAATAGCCAGGTGGGGAGCCATGAGTGGGAGAGGACATTTGGCTGCTCTCTCCAGATCCCTCAGGAGCTCGGAGGAGAGCAGCAGAGCGTCTGGGAGATTCTCGGGACCACAGGCCCTCAGCTGTGACTTCTACCCTCCGAAGAAGATGAGGACACTGCTCATATCCTTGGTCAGCTGCCTCATTGCCATAAATGAGGCCAGGCTCATCAATCGCTGTGACTTGGCCAGCGTGCTGCGCAAGGAGGACTTGGATGGCTTTGAGGGCTATTCGCTGAGTGACTGTGAGTGCCGCTTTCTCACACTCCCGCCCTCCCCCCTTCCTTCTCCACTCCTGCTCATGCCCTGTGTGCCTGTCTTTCCATCATTCATCCTTTGAAGCCAAGTTCAAAAAGCAGCCCTCCCTGGGGCGCCTGGGTGGCTCAGTTGGTTGAGTGTCCGGCTTCGGCTCATGTCATATCTCGCGATTTGTGGGTTTGAGCCCCGCGTGGGGCTCTGTGTTTACAGCTCAGAGCCTGGAGCCTGTTTCACATTCTGTGTCTCCCTCTCTTTCTGACCCTTCCCTGCTCACGCTCTGTCTCTCTCTGTCTCAAAAATAAAGTAGAAAAAAATTAAAAAAATAAAAAAGCAGCCCTCCCCAAGAAGCCCTTCCCAACATTCTATATTCGTTCCACAATTATTAACAGAGCACGTACTCTGCCCCAGGAACTATTTCAGGTGCTGAGGACAGAGACAACAACAAAGCCCCTTCTGTCACGGCGTTCACATTCCAGGGGCAGAGGCGGGCCCCAACCGTTGAACACACAGACCTATGAAGCACTTTCCTGGTGGTGATAAATGTTACACAAAGGATAAAGCAGGGGAGGGTGATGATAGGTAACACTGTACTAGAAGGGGAAGTCAAGGAAGGCCTCTCTGAGCAGGTGACATTAAGTGGCACTGAATGAAGCAAAGGGCTGGGTCACCCAAATGTCCAGGGAAGAGCATTCTAAGCTGAGGGGGCAGACGGTGCAGAGGCTTCATCCTACTCCATGGGGGGGCCACCAGCTTCCTTTTGCCCAGATTTTGTACATGCCTGTCTTGTGCTGTCTTCCTTTTATCTTGTGTTGTGGGTTTTTTTTTTTTTTTTGGTATCATCATTCTTGTACTAGAGGCCCCTTGAAGGCACTAGCTGCATTTGACCCAGCTAAATGTCCCTCACTGGGCTTTGCACACACTGGGTGATCATGGCACACAGTAGGTGATCATCAAGTGCAGGCGGTATGGATGGACAGAGGAATGATAAGAGGTTGTACCGAGGGGCAGGCAGATGGAAGGAAGGGCGAGGGGAGAAGCTAATGGGTGTTTCTGGCCAGCCTGCACCCTCTAGCCTCTTAGGCCTTGTTCCTTCCTTCTGCTTCCCTCTCCCTTTCTGCACCATCTCCTTTGTCCACTGGTTCAAGCCCTCCGAAAACCTTCTTCTCCCTGTCCTAAGGGCTGTGCCTGGCTTTTGTGGAAAGCAGCTTCAACCTATCAAAGGTGAATGAAAATGCAGATGGTAGCTTCGACTATGGCATCTTTCAGATCAACAGCCACTATTGGTGCAATGACTACCGGAGTCACTCGGAAAACATTTGCCATGAGGACTGTAAAGGTCTGCCTGGGGTCCCAGGGCGGGAGAGGTGAGAGAATGACTGGGGTCTACTCACAGGACTTCTCTGCCCACTTGATGCCCCGGAATGCCCCCAGAGGGGTGGCCCAAGGAGTCCAGGAATACCTTTGCTGAGCAGAGGACTTGACTAGTGGCTGTAACGCTCCTCACCATTAAGTGAGGAGACTGTCCGATGTGCGGGCTCCAGAAAGCTCTGCACAGCCAGTGGCAGAGCATCGCAGCAGCCAACATTTACTGAGAGTGTATTCTATACTGAGCGCTTTACATGCCAACTTTTCATGTGCTGGAAAGTATTATGATCCCCACTTTACAGATGAGCAAACTGAGGCTCAGAGCACCAGTGCTGAATGCCAGACTGGTGGCCCTGAAGGCTCAGCCCTAACCATCAAGTACTGACTTTGGCTGATAGTCAGATGGATTAAAGGCCAAGTGCAAACTCCCCACCTCAGAGCTGCCCTGAGAGGCTCCACAGGCCCATGACTTTGTCCCTCACTCCCTCCTTTGTACTCTGATCAATATCCCTGGACTCTTCACCTGAAGAGCCTCTCTCATTAGGCAAGATTTACCTTGGCCTCTGTGCTGCCTGTTTTGACATTTCCTTTCCCTAGAAACCCTCAAACGCGGAGCAAACCACCCTCTACCCTAGCTAGGACGCGTGGTAGTAAACATACATTTACTTCTGCCCCCTCCTGCCTCCACCGCTGGCCACCCTTGACCTCCAGCAGCCATTGTAGGGCTGTCTAAATGAGCCTCTGGGAGGGAGCCCTTGCCTAATCTGCCCCTGGGTGGCATCTGCCAGTGCAGGGAGAGCTGGGGTCTGCCTCAGTCTCTGGGACTGTCCTCTGTGTTCTCACGGGTATTCTCTGTCTCCCTTTCAGAACTGCTGAGCCCCAATCTTCTCTCAACCATCAACTGCGTGAAAAAGATTGTGTCTGGAGCAGGAGGGATGAAGAACTGGTGAGGAGGGCACTGTGGGACTAAGTTTGCAGGCAGAGCCCCGAGAAGGATGTAGAGGCAGAGAAGGGACAGGAGGCAAGGAACAGACCCCTTCTAACAGTCTAGAAAATGTGGGATAGCGGCAGGGCTCGGACCTGGGACTTATTAACAGTCATATTAAAACTGCTTTGGACACGGTGACAAAGCAAAGACTGTCAGTGAGCTTTTCCTGACAAGTTTCTCCTTCCTCGTGCATTTGCTTCACTACTTTCAAGAAAGTAGTCCGCACTCCACAGGACAGACCGTGGCTGCCCCCATGTAAATGCGCTAATGTTCTGAGCAGCCACGAAGGCTGGCTAGTCTCATCCCCAGTCCAAGTGGCTGGGATGGAGAATCTGATTGGTTCAGTTTAGACCCAGTGTCCCCACTTGGTTCAGTCAGCTATAGGGGTAGGAGCAGC